CAGAATATTTGCGAAAATCGCGTACTCTGATGTATATCAGTCAGCGGGGTGTTACAGTGCGTGACTGGCGTGCGCTAGCCTATGCACATACCTGCTGGCGGCACGCTAGTGGACGTTGCGGCACGAGCAATGCGCGACGCCCAACTGGGCGCACGCATGCTACTCGCAAGCCCGCAAGCTATTGCCAGCTGCACTGCACCACTACGTGCGGGCAGGCACTACGGTCGGCACCTCGCCAGCCGTCCGGCAACATTTTCTGGCAACGACTATATGAATCAATATAATATGACATATAATGATCGAAAATACATAAATTGCTCGGGAGTTCTCGGCTAGAAATTAATATGGTTGGGGGGGGGGGCTATATGGCACTTCCGAGTGCAACATGACCTAACTAATGAACTTAGCTACATGTTTTACACATGATCTTACTAAAATGATCACATAATTACTAAAGGAAGGTTGATATGAGTATACCCCTTCGATTGCTCGTGAAATGGTGTTAGGCTTCGTGGCTTGCTCGCGGCCACTTGGAATGCGCGTGCTTCCCTCGGCAATGGGTTGGGTACAAGCTATCTTCTCCACTCTATACTTAAACTCTCGGCTATTTCTATCTTTACTCTCGGTTGCTCTTTCTTTTTCTCTCAAGTAAGATCGGTTATGCATAGTAAATACTAACTCTCAGCCTTTACTATATAAATAGAGTTAAAAATGGAAGGAGATGAAATTATAGTTTAACCTTGGAATGCCACTTGCTCAACCCTTAGGCTTTGGTGGCATAAAACTCGCCTAGTCACTATGCCAAGGTGGCGCAAGGGCTAGCTTAGTCATCACTTGAAAGCTACCAAGATGCCACGTGGCTAAGCACCTAGGTGAGTCATGGATGCAAGTTGCACATTTTCTTATCTTAAGCTAGTACATCTACAAGACAATTACTAAGGTCTAAGCATGGTTAATTTGACATGATCTCGGCACTTACTACCACACACACTAGCAATGGACGGTGGCTATGCGCACACGCACGGCAATGGCGTTGCTCTCGGCAATGCTATGGCCAACGCACGCGCAACATAGGCGTGGCCATGCGTAGTGTAATACCCCGTTCAGTTGTGGAATATTTGGAGTTATTATTTATTTTCTTTATTAGTATTTGCTCTCCTTATTATTATTATTGCCTAAATTGATTGTTGCTATATTTATTAACATTATTATAAATATTATTGCTAAATGCCTAATTGTTTGTTATTATTATAAATGTTTTTGCTTTGATTATTATTATTATTATTATTATTATTATTATTATTATTATTATTATTATTATTATTATTATTATTATTATTATTATTATTATTATTATTATTATTATTATTTGCTAATTGTCTACTTGTTTAATTGCCTAAGTGCT